CCTCCCCTCGCTGCCATTCACCCCACAGCCTGCCCCTCCCTCTGGGCCTGGCCAATGTCAGGGACGGGGCTGGCCACCCCCCCACCCCCACCCCCAAGCCCGGCGGGCACAGCGTCTCAGCTCTGCAGCGGAGCGCAGAAGGCCACCGAAAGAGGCCACCATGAGCTGCCTGGGGTGAGTTAGGGGCCTGCCCCTTGCTGGGAAAATCTCGAGAGGAAAAAAAAGTTATTTCTGGAGCCGAATTTGCAATAGAGATGTTGTGCTGGCTCTGAGGGCTCCCTGGGGAGGTGATGATGGACACCCCCCCACACCCCAACCCTCTTCACCAGGTCTGGGCCAGGGTTGAGGGTGGCCGGGTTATCCCCTGGGAACTTGGTAAACGTCCCTAGGCTGCTAGCAGCCGGACTCCGCTGGAGGCCCTCTCGGTCCGCTCATCTCCTTTCGGTGCTTCGCCGGCTTCTGTCCCTGCCGCCTCTGCCGGGCCAGCCTGTTCGCCTCCTGGGACAGCCCCCACGCCTGCCTTTCCCGTCCGCAGCGGGTCAGGAAGAGCCGGGGTGGGGGAGGCACCCCCGTGGGCGTGCGCGATTTAGTGCCTGGGAAGCAGGACACCTGGGGATGCCCGTTCCCGCAGCATCCCTGGCGCTGCTGGGGAGGATGAAACAGCAGCCTCTGTTGTCAGTGTGTCAAGTGCGACGGGAAAATTGGGGACGCTGCTGGAGGAGGGGGCGGTGCCCAGCTGGGCTCTGCTGGGAGAGGGGTACTCTGGCAATGTGCCTTCAGCCACCCGTATCTCCTCAAACACCCCTCGTGTCCCAGGGATGCAGTGATCCCCACACAGCACTTTCCCAAGAGAGCTCAGGGGGCATGGAGGAGTCACAGATGCAATTTTCTGTGATTCCCAGGACTGATGCCCGTGGAGACAGCGGAGGGCTAAGTCATCAGGGGGCAATCAGGGCAGGCTCCTCAGAGGAGGCAGCAGGTGCCAACGCTGCGGCTCAGAAAGTGACCAGTGGGGTCTGGTGGTGTGTCCTATGGCGGTGGGAAGACAGTCCCCAATGGGGAGTTCATCAGGGCCAGCCATCAGTCACAGAGGTGGACCCCTGAGAGCCAAGGTGAGGGCAGTGCCACACAGGCCCATGGGTCTGGGTACCCAACAGTGCCCCTCCTGTAAACTGTCCCATGGGGTGAGAGGCCATGAAGAGCTACATCTGTGGCCCAGGGTGGGACCCTCTCCTGACCCCCATCCAGGAGAGACAAGGTTTAGGTGAGAGGCTGAGCAGCAAAGGGTAGGTGAGGATACATCGGTGTGTGCTCAGCACAGGCTGGAACCCACCCACACCACCGTGTGGCCTCCTGGGGCTGGTCCCAGCGGCCAACCCAGAAGGCTCAGGAAGGCAAGAGAAGGAGCAGTGAGACCATGGAACTGGACCATCCAGCACAGCAGCCGCTGGCCCCGTGTTGCTATTTAAAATTAAATTCAATGAATATTATGTGAAATTTAAAGCTCAGCTTTCCAGTCTCACTAGCCACCGTCCAAGTGCTGAGTAGCCACACATGGCTAGTGGCGACCGCATGGACAGCGCGCGTATTCGTCATTGCAGAAGTTCTCTTGGTTCTGTCACAGTACTGTGACAGGGAGCTTTGGGTCAGTGGCAGGCAGCCATGTCAGCAACGGGGCTTGTCTCCCTTCACAAGGGCTGCGAATCCCGTGGCTCAGCCTAATTTGGGTCTGTCCCCAAAGGGATCCCAGTTTGATGAAGTGATAAAATGGCTTTCTAATTAGGACAGGCCAGGCAGTTTGGAAAGTGTGACGTGATTAGGAGGGAACAGAAAAGCTAAGTCAGCTTTGGGGTCTGCTAGTGTTTCAGGAAATGTGGAGGGGGCGGGAGGGGCAGGCATGGAGGTGGCGGAGGAAACTGGAACTTGAAATCCCCACAGACTCAGCTTGAATCCCACATCCACCCACTGGCTGTGCGACCTTGAGCAGGTTCATTGACCTCTACAAAAGGGGGTTGGTGACACCTACGTGTCCCCAACAGGGATCTTGGTAGGAAATCACACAAATGAACTGCCAACTGCAAGCAGAGGAGATTAGTTGAGAACTGGGGTAGGATGTGAGAGAACATCGACACTTCCTTCACCTTCTTGTGTTGTAATGACAAGTGTCAGAGACACTGTAATACAAACTTATGGGGAGAACTCTGTGATACTAAAGCCGAAGTGCTCAGTTAGCGAGGGTTTCCCTTGGGGAGGGTCTCTCTCCCTAGAGAGGTTTCTCAACCCCCACACTATCCACCTTTTGGGCCCAATAATTCTCTGTTGTGGGGGCCGTCCTGTATATTGTAAGATGTTTAGCAGCATCCCTGGCATCACCCACCGGATGCCAGAAGCACAGCCCCCTCCCACTTGTCACTTTATGACAACCAAAACTGCCTCCAGGCAATGCCAGATGTCCCCTGGGGGGCACAGTTGCCCCAGTTGAGAACTGTGTTAGAGTGACCTGCCTTTGGTGGCACACCCTGGCTGGGGTAGGCACTTCAGAGAAGGCCAGCACATGCCAGCCTTGGGTCATCTGACCAGATGTACCAGCTGCTGGCCCTGAGGCAGTGTGTGCACTGCTGGCCGTGCCTGGATTTGAGCATGAGCATCTGCTCTGTGCTGCCATCTCCTCTGCCCACAGCAAGGTGGGCATTGTTCACAGCCTTCAGGAGGGCCTGGTTCTGGATGCTGGGCCGTAGCACCTCGTACAGATCAACCAGGAATGGCTCCATCATGTTGGCTGGGATGGCTGTGGCCCTGCGGGTGTCAGGGAGCTGTGTGCCCAGTGAGGGGACATTTCTATCCTGGGCAGGGCTGAGGACAAAGCCTGGGGAGGACGGGGCATGGGCACTGGCTCTGGCTTCCTGCTGCTGCCGGGTAGAAATGCAGCTCTGAGAGGTCACCGCAGGGTGGTGGCCTTGCTGGGGTCAGGAAGGTGGGGTTGAGGTGTGTTGGGCAGCATGGCCTGGGCAGGGTACCAAACTGACGGTCAGTATCCTCCCTGTGACGGGCTGCAGGAACCCGCAGGCAGACCATGGAAGATGCCCCTCTCATGTCTGAGACCGAGGTAGAGTCCCTGGGGTTTCCTGACTCTGATGCCCAGCCTGTCTGGGTGGTGACCACCTCCGGCTGAGGAGAGAGCCTTGTGCTGATGTCCCCTGTTGAGGGTGCCCCCAGGAGCCCCTCCCCAGGATGCCCTGGGCTGGCTTCCCGTCACCTATCCTCCCTTTCTGGCCGGCAGGCAGGACTTGGATCAGCGAGAAAGGACAATGTGTGGTCCCTAGGGTCTGTTCCTGCTCTGACTTCCAGGTAGTGGCAGGCCCAGAGCCAGAGGAAGAGTCCAGACCCCCTTTCCTCTGATCTTTCTCTCTCCTGTCTGTAGCGGTTCCGCCCCTCCTCTCCCAGGAGGACACACCCATCTCAGGGGGACCCTCTACTTCCCCCATCCACTCACCTGGGAACTGCCCAGCCTGGTGGCCCCCTCCTCACTTCTACTCATTCACCTGGTCTCATACACTCTTTTCCGTCTGTTTTTAGAATCTAGACACTTGTCCCATCTCAACACCCTTCCCTGCTCCCCTCCCAGCACCACCCCTCCCCTGGTGTACCAAAACCTCTGGGACCCCCTCCACCGCTCCTTAAATCCTTAGACCCTCCCAGAGCCGCCCACTGGGCTCCGCGTGCAGTCTCGGCCGCTGACAGCGGCATGCAAGGCCTCCCTCGCTAGCGTCTTCTCTGCTAGAGCGTCCCCTGGGCTGGTTGGTAGTGAGGGCTTCCTCCCGCTGAGCCCCTTGAGGCCCAGGGCAAAGGCCATCCCTTGTTCTGCAGGCCTTCCCGTGTTCTACAAAAGGCAGTCGGGGCTTCCTCTGAACTGTCGGGTTCAATCTCAGTGCAGCAGGCGTTGGGGACTCGCCACTATGGGGGGAACCAGGCGGCCGCCTCCCGAGAGATCGGGAGGCGAGGCGCCTGGATGGGACTAATGGAGGGGGCCAAAAGGAGGCACCGTGACAGCCTGGAGCTGCCTCAGCTTCCCGGGAGCTAGCTGAAGGGTCCCCCCGGAGGGGCGGGGTGGGGCGGGGCCACCCGAGAAGGGGCGGGCGCCGGGCGCCGGGCCGGGCTGGCTCCGGAGGGGCCGCGCGCGCAGGCGAGGCAGAGGCGCGTGGAGTCGCTGCGCCCTCGCTCTGCTTTCGAGTTCGGCCGGCCGTCCCCTTCTGTCTGCGCCCGCCGCGCCGCCGTCGCCGGCTCCAGATGGGGAAGGACCAGGGCTTCTCCCGGCACTTTCGGTAGTTTCCCCAACGCGCCCTTGCCCCCGGGAACCGTGCGCCCTGGGCGCCGAGGAGCTGCCTTTGGCCGGCCTGAGGGGATGCGGCTGGGGCACCGAAGGGCTTCCCTGACCTGGGTGGGCACCCGCCTTGCCTAGCTGGGGCCCGGGGGCTGGGGAGGGTGGCCGGAAACAGGAAGGGTACAAGGGGTGAGTTCCCCGTGTTGGGGCTCCCAGAACTCACGGTTGCCAAGGTAAGGGCTGGGATTGAAAAGCCTTCTTTCCTTCTTAGACTGTGTCATTCAAGGGAACTGGCCAGAGAGCCGAGTAAGGGAATATGGTGGAGAGAGAACCCTAGGGCAGTCCCTGGGAGGGACTTGGAAATGGATTTGGACCTGACGCCCCAGGCAGAGAGAAAAGAACTGACAGCCGAGTGCAGCATCACTGTGTGGCCCTGGAATTGTCCTGTGGCCTCAGAGAAGCCTTTTGGCACAGCAAGGACCTGGGAGTCCTGGAGCAGCTATAGCCAGGCTGTCAGGGTCAGAGGGACAGTGATGGGCCACAATGGGCCTTGAGACCCCACTGTGCATGGCTTTGCTGGGACAGTCGATTGAAAGCAGACCCAGGGCTGGGGTACCTGGGTCACACTGAGCCCCCTGGAGGGCCCACACAAGCCAGGAAGGGCATGTGGCTCCCCAGGCCGCCTTGGCCTCCGGCTCAGCCAGAACAACACCAGTCAGGGAAAGGATCACCCAACCTTCCCCAGCCTGAGCAGCTGGTGACTCACAATGGTTCCCATCTTGGTGGAGGGGGCAGGGTCTTTTCTAATTGCTGCTGGAGGACTGAGCTGGGATGCCCAGATTGGACCCTTGGGTGGGAGTGGGGCTCATGCCTCTGGAGCCTGAGGCTGGAGCCCAAAGCGTGAAATGGACAGTTTCTGCCTGTCATCTCTCCTTTGCCTGGGCACAAGGGATGTGGTGGGTCCAGGAGGGTTGGGGAATTCTCAGGCAGATGGAGGTGTCAGGCTCCGGAGACACTGAGTGACCATCTGGGGAATGAGGCTGAGGCTCTAGATTTTGGGGACTTGCTGTGGGTGAGCAAGGATGAGCAGATCAGGCAAGTAGCCCCTGGCAGAGCTGAGCAGGCCATTCATTCTGGCCACCTGGTTTTGTGGGACATCCAGGAGCAGAGCTCACCGGGGGTGAGGTGGGGGCAGGCCCTGATGTACCCTCCTTCCCGAAGGTCCACACCCCTTCCCTCCCACCAGGTGGCTCTTCTGCCCACTTGGCCTTATTAATCCTACCCACAGAGGTCCAGGGAACTGAGGGGGGCCACTGGGCAACCTCAGAGGGGTTGTATTTCAGCTGGCTCTCCTCCCTTCTCCTCACCATGCCCTTGGCACTGACTCCTGCTACGAAGAACAGGGACAGGCGCCATGGGATACAGCCAGGGAGGCCTCACTAGCTACCAGAACTTCAGGGGCCCTTCGCAGAGCCCTGCCACGGTGCTGAGGCCCAGAGGCTGGGTTTCCATCCCAGCTGTGCCAAGGGCCAGCTGCGTAACATTGGGAAGTTACAGAGCCTCAGAATCCTTGGCCATGGACCAAGGAGTCCACCAGGATGTTAACTGCGGCCATCACTCAGAGGCGTGGTTGGGCCATGGGTGGCAGCAGCAGTCCTGTTTACTGAGTCACTGAGTCCCTCCCATGTGCTGAGCCCTGGCTGGTTCCTGTGGCTCAGCTGAGCTTCCAGGTGGCAGAGGAGGCCCATGGTCACCAAGGAACCATCCCACAGGGGACCATGCTAGCCTCCCCCTTGCTTCTCACCACTTCCAGATGGCTTCTCTGAAAGTGGGGACCACGGTGCCTTCAGCTTTGAAGCCCAGTGCCTGGCTGGCCCAGATAACAGAGACCTGCTCAAACATGGAGGATTAAACTGAAGAAAGCCAGAGCAGGCGTCCTGGGCTGGGGCAACAGTGTGGGGGAAGGCGAGAGGCAGGACTGGAGGCCGTAGTCCTGGCCCATTCCAAGGAGGCAGCTGTAGAGAGAGCCAAGCAGGACTGGGAGTGTGATGAAGTCTGGGGAAGGCTGACCAGGGCAGACTGTGGCTTCTGTTCTCCCACCTCATTGCCTGGAGACAGGCTAGGAGAAGGTGGGAGGTGGGGAGCCTTAGCTGGGGCTTGGCCTGTCAGGTGCAAGGGCACGAGATGGGGGAGCGGAGGCCAGGCCACAGAAGGGAAGACAAGCAGGGGGAGGACCTGGTCCATTGGCCGGCTTTGGGGGTACCGAGGTCCCCCAGAGGCCACAGTAATGGGGACGGTCCGAACGTGATTTTACGGAGGTGGAGGACGCCGGGTGGCCCAAGCCGGTTGGGGCTCAAGTCTGGGCACCGAGAGGGGAACTGGGGGGCAAACGGCTTAGTTCCGCGCAACCCTGAGCTGAGGGCTGCCGCGATCAGGGCAAAGTCTGGGGAGGCGCCCCGACTCTTCCGTCCTCGCCGGCAGGATCTTCATCCCCAAGAAGCACCGGGCGCGCTTCGACGAGGTGGTGTCGCAGGGTCTGCTGGGCAAGCTGTGCCGCGCCCGGCGGGCGCAGAGCGCGCAGAGGTTGCGTCGGAGCCGCAGCGAGGAGCGGCCGGAGCGCCTTCTGGTGTCCACGCGCGCCAGTGCCGCCCCGCGCCGCCCAGACGAGCCACCCCCGCGCAAGGCAGCCTCGCTGCTGGGCTGCCGCGCAGGCACCGGGGGCGCACGCAGGTACCCGGGGCGGGCGGGCACTGGCTGCAGATGCCTCTTGGTCGATGCGTGGGCTCACGGTGGAGACCCTGGCAGAGGGCGCGGGGGCGGGGCTGGACACCTGGCGGGTGGCGCGGTAGGGGATGTTAAAAGGAGTGGGACACGGGACATCTCCATCCCCTGCGTCCCCCGGTCCCCTCTCCCTAGCTGGGCACACCCGCGCCCAGCCTGCCCCTTCTTTCTTCCCAGGACAGTCCGGGTCTACAAGGGCAGCAAGAGCTTCGGCTTCACGCTCCGTGGCCATGGGCCTGTCTGGATCGAATCCGTCCTGCCTGGTGAGGGGTGGGTGGGTTGCCCAGGATGGGGTGAAGGACCCTATTAGGCCTCTGCTGAGCGCCCCCCTCCACCCCAGATACCAACCTCATGTAGCAAGGGTCTTCTGGATGTCCCAGAGCAGCAGAGACAAATCATCTATCTGCCAGAGTTGGGGCAACCTCCGTCCAAGTTCAGGGTCACCCCTGAGCCAAGAGAACCAAGTTCTCCATCCAGACCTTTCCTATGTCCACAGGGATGGCTGGGGCACTTCCCAGGACAGGCAGCCAGGACAGAGCTGGTGTCTGCCTAGGCTGTGCCCTGGGCAACATTCCCTGTACTGAGTGTTCACTGTGAACTTGGCGCTTGTGAGGCCGGCCAGACGCAGAGCAGCAACAGGCTTCAGGGCTGCAGACCAGTCATTTAGTATATCTAGGAATTGGTTAGCCCTGGGAGGGACACTACTTTCAGTGTCAGCAAGGCGCCAAGATGTCACAGCCTAAAAAACATGATTAATACATTGTTTTCCAACCTGAGGGAGGGGACTGCCTCCATCCAGACAGACACATTTTCTCCTGGTGACAAAAGTACAGAGGAGCCTATAATGAGGACCTTTATATGAGGGGCTGAGAACAGTGTCTGAAGTGAGGTCCTCACGGGGTACAGATGCTGAGAAATACTGCTGTCAACATCACCTTTATTTCAGCTCTTCTCCAGCAGCTCAGGGCTGACCTGTGGTCCACACGGCCCCGAGCGCTCCCACCCCCGCCCGGGAATCACTGCCTAGAGAACAGAGAGGCACTGGGTCCAATGCGGGCACCGCTGAATTTGGCTCTCCTCTGCCACCTATCCCATTTCTCAGCTGGTGAACAGGCGTGGGCCCTGCCCCGCTGAAGCATGCCCTCTCTTTTTGCCTCCAGGGAGCCCAGCTGACAATGCTTCCCTCAGGTCAGGTGACCGGATCCTCTTCCTCAATGGACTGGACATGAGGTCAGAGGCTACTGGGGACACCAGAGCTTGGTGGTGAACTGTTCCCCAAGACTGCTGCCTCTTGGGACATCCAGCCTATGGTCCCGATCTCCTCTGACCAGTTGGTCCCAGGGTCTGTCCCTCTTCCTATGGGAACTCTTGAATCTGTCCTCCCACCCTAGCTAGGATGTCAGTTCATCCTTCCAACCAGAAAACCCCCCAGCTCCATGCAGGGGACAGAGTGGAAGTGACCATCTGTGTCTTCCTCTTTAGGGGGAGCCCTGCCTAGGGCTGACCTAGGTGCAACCCTTTCTGTGACCAGAAGTGTCCAGCTGGCCTTGGGCCTGGAGCTTCTCCTGCAGAGATTAAAGAGCGAGAGAGGCGGGGCCCTGGCTTGTGGTTGCGGCCCAGCTGTGGACTTGCTGTGCGGCCTCCGCAGGCAGGAGAGGGAGGCCGGGGGGGTGGGTGTGGACAGGGCTCATCAGGCCAGGCCCTCCTGGGCCATCTCTGCTTGGCAGGAACTGCTCCCACGACAAGGTGGTGTCCATGCTGCAGGGCAGTGGTGCGATGCCCACACTGGTGGTGGAGGAGGGGCCTGTCCCGTTCACCAGCGGTGAGACCTCCACTGCCACTTGGCTTTGTGGCCCACAGAGACCCCGCCCCCCAAAAACCCACAGCATCCCTCCCCCAGTGGTCCTGTAGGACCCAGAGGTTCCACCTCAAGGACCCCACCTGGCTCTCCCTCCATCCCCATCCCCTGCACATGTGCCTCCCAAAGCATGGCACTGTGCAGCCACATCCCAGCCCAGGAGGGCCCCTGGCCCCAGCTGCCAGGGAACCTGCACCTGGCCTGGGACATGGAGTCACCCGTGCCTCTCCTGCCTGTGGCCCTGCAGACTCCGATTCTTTGGATTCCCCCAACCCGTCGTCGGCACTCACCTCCTTGCAGTGGGTGGCGGAGATCCTGCCATCCAGCATCCGAGTGCAGGGGAGGACTTTCAGCCAGCAGCTGGAGCACCTGCTCACGCCTCCCGAGCGCTACGGCATCTGCCGGGCCCTCGAGAGCTTCTTCCAGCACAGGTGGCCGAGCTGAAGTGGTGGGGGGACCTGCCCTGGGTGGGCCCCAAATCCTGCCCAGACTCACCTTTCGGGTCTCCCTGCCTGAGCCTCCTCATCCCCTTTCTCCTGGGGGAGGCTCAAAAAAGGCAGCAGCTGGCATGAGGGGTCCCCAGGTGGGGACAGTTGGGCTGCCCCAGAACAAACCCTGACTCTGAAACCTCCCAGCCACATGACCTGGGCAAGTCACAGCCTTCTTTGCAAAGTGAAACCAACAGTGACCATCTGCGGCATTGTTGGGGGGACCCTCACAGTACCCTCGCCTGTGGGCACTTTTGGGGTTGGTTTACTGTCTTTTCGCACATCAGGGGCAGCAGGCTGCATTTGTCACACTCCTCGGTGCATAGGTCATTGTCATGTTTGGTGCAAACTCCTCGCTTGTTCATTCTTTTCCTTTTTTTATTTAAACAGTTTTATTGAGATACAATTGACATACCATACAGTTCACTCATTTAGGTGTACAGTGGGCTGGGTTTTCGTATATTCCCAAACATGTACAACTATCACCACACTGAGTTTTAGCACATTTTCATCACCTCAAAAAGAAACGCTGCACCTTTCCACCATTGCCCACCCTCTTCTCTGCTCCCTCTTTCAGCAACCATTAATCTACCTTCTGTCTCTCTAGATGTCCCTGTTCTAGACATTTCATCTGAATGGAATCATACACTATGTGGACTTTAGTGTCTGGCTTCTTTCACTTAGTACCATGTTTTCAACGTTCATTCAAGTTAGAACACGTATTTCATTCCTTTGTAATGGCCCGATAATGTTCCATTGTATGGAAAGAACATATTGTGTTCATCCATTCAGCTGTTGATGGACATTTGGGTGCTCCTGCCTTTCTTTCCCTTTTGGCCCCACACGCTCTCCTGTGTCCCCTCCCCCGCTAAGGCCACCAGTCTGATTAATGGGCATCTTTTTGTCCGAAGCTGTTGTAAAAAAGTGGGCATTGCTGTTCCATAGGATGTATGTTTATTTTATATCATCATTGTGCTATGTCTTCTGTGTTGACTTTTTTTCACCAAGGGTTCTGTGTTTAGATCTGTCCGCACGGCTCTGTGTACATTTAATACACTGTTTACAACTGTCGCTGAATCCCCGTGGATCGCAGCCACTTGTCCCGTCCATTTACCTTGCCAGTGACGGACAGCGGGTCCCCTCCAGCCTCTTCATCCCAGTGACACTGTGATGAGCACCGTTGTGCTCCTTTCCCTGTGGAGCTGTGTAAATTCCCTTGGAACTTATATCTAAGAGCAGAATTGCTGGCTTTTAAGGTAAACGTTTGCCTCATTTAACCAGCTCGTGCCAAATTGCTTCCCGGAGCAGTTTCACCCTCGCCAGCAGCATTCCCCATGTCCTCAGCAACTTTTGGCACTATTGGCTTTGTAATTTTGCTAGTCTTTTTAGCCACGAAGTAACATCTTGTTCTTTTAATTTGGGCTTTTAATTAGTAATTATTTTAAACACCTTTTAATGTCCTTGTTAACTTTTCCCATTTCCTTTTCCATAAGTGACCTGTTCAGACCCCTAGTCCATTTTCGTTTTGTTGGGCTTTTTGTTCTTGCTGATTTGCAGGAGTTCCTTGTATATTTTAGACACTGTTTCCTTGTTGATCTTGGACATTGTAATGATCTTCTCCCATCTGTTACTTCTGTTATTACTCCTGTTACATCTAATGTTAATGTGTCCAAGTTGTGCTTCTTTGAACAGACATCTTGATTTTGTATAATCAGATTCAATGCAGATGTGTCTCATGGCTTTGGCTTTGAAATTTTAAGAAGTCCTTTCCTGTCCCTGGCTCAAAAGATATTCTCTTGCGTTAATCTTCTATTAACTTTATAATTTTATCTTTCACACTTTGGTCTTTTATCCACCTTCATCTTTATATGTGGTGTTATGTGAGAATCCAGTTTTATTTTTTCCACATAATGTAGAGATCAGCAAACTATTTCTATGAAGGGCTGAATAGTAAATATTTTAGGCTTTGCGGTCCATACAGTCACCGTCAAAACTTCAATTCTGCTGTTGTATCTTGAAAACAGCCACAGACAGTATAGAAACAAATAGGCATGGCCATGTGCCAATAAAACTTTATTTACAAAAACAGGTGTGGGCCAGATTTTGGCCCATGGGTCATCACTTGCTGATCCCTGATATAGTCACTCAGCTTTCCCATACGTGCCATACATTCCAACCTTCACACAGCTCTGTGCAGTAGATGCTACTTTCACCCCCATTTTACAGATGCGGAAACTGAGGCACAGAGAAGTTAAGTAACTTAAGAAAGGTCAGTTGGCTGGTAAGTAGCAGAGGCAGGGTTTGAATTCGGGCTGCCTCTCCTCAGAACCTGCCTTCCTGCCCACTTCTCTGTCTTGGCAGCGGGAAGGGGCGCAGGGAACAAGCCTGAATTCTGTGGCTGGGAGTGCCCCCCTCATCCATCCCTACCCCACACCCCATGGTGAGCCCCTGAGTAATGAACCGCCTTGCTCCTGCACCCCACCCCCCAGGAACATCGACACCCTCATCGTCGATGTCTACCCTGTGCTGGACACACCTTCCAAGCAGGTGCTTTGGCAGTTCATCTACCAGCTGCTGACTTACGAGGAGCAGGAGCTCTGCCAGGAGAAAATCGCATGCTTCCTCGGCTACACGGCCATGACAGGTGAGCAGCCCCTAGCCCTGCCCAGCCCGCTAGGCAAAGAGCTAGACACCTGTTCTCACCTGTGAAGTATTACAGCCATCCTGGGCCCCTCCCACACAGAGCTGTGCCCATGTATGCAGATACAGGCCCAACACAGACGGCTGGTCCCATGCTTGGCCCCATGGATGTGCCTTCCCAGCTTTAAGCAGCAAATGCAGCATAACCTTAGACTTGACACACTCCACATACTGTATTTCCCCATGTATAAGACGCTCCCCTGTGTAAGATACACCTTAATTTTGGGGCCCTAAATTTGAAAAAAATGTATTACATAAAGTTACTGAACTCAAGTTTTATTCATCATAAAATTCATACAACTCCTCATCACTGTCAAAACTCCCAACCATTAGCTTGTCCTCATTTGTGTCTGATGACGAATCACTGTCTTTGTATATTGCCTCGTCCTCAGTTCCATCTATGGCATTTGAAATGCCACACTTCTTAAATGACTTGACAACAATCTAGAACCACTGTAAAATACGCACCCAGTTTTTAGACCCCAAATTTTTCAAAAAAGGATTTGACTTATACATGGAGAAATACGGTAACTGCCCAGGGTCTCAGTGGCTGTGCTTTGCACCCCAGGAAGTGTAGCCTAGGTCAAGAAGTTCCTGTGGCCACTGTTCGCAGACCTGGATCGTGAGCATGCAGCCGGGTCACACATGGCTGGGCACAGACACGCACCAGGGCCTGCTGGGCCTTCCTCTGCTGTCACCTGCTACAGTGCCTGTGTGCCCACGAAACCATGCACTTGATTGTTCAGGCCGTTGGACTCGAAAGTGTGCCAAACCTTGTACATTTGCCCTGGGTGCTCTGCGTCTGCTGTGTCACAGCCTGCATATCTCCTACGTGTTGGCCCTGTGTGCCCACTATCCCTAGTCCCAGGGACCCACAAGTAGTAGGGGGATGGTCAGGGGTTTTAGCAAGAAAGTCAGGGTGCAGGTAGGCAGCAGATGTCTCATACATTTGCCTAAACCTGGAACCCTTCTTTTCACCCCATAAATCCAATGTGGGCAGTGGTGACTAGGTTTTGAAACCTTGGGTTTGGGGTTCTAGGCTCTTGTCATGAGAAGAGGCCCCGTGGGGTAGGCTGTGGCTGCCTCCCCAGGCCGGCATCTTCAAGCTAGCACCAACCCCATGCTCCTCCTGTTCCTGGCACCCAGTTTCTCACCCCAGGCTTCCCTGTGAGAGCTGTTTTAGAGCTTAGCAGGGCCGGACATCACAAATTGGCAGACAGCTGCTGCCGTCACCCTCCCTGTGTTTGGCAGCTCCTTGTCTGGCTAAGAGGACAAGGGTCCATCTCCCCTTCATGTCCCCCATCAGAGCCCGAGCCCTCGCTGGACCTGGAGTCTGAGCCTGAACCTGAGCCCGAGCAGGTGCCTGAGCCCCAGCCGCGGAGCTCCCTGAGGGCCTCCTCTATGTGCCGCCGCAGCCTCCGGGCCCAGGAGGCCAGTTTGGGCTGCGGTAAGGCCCTGGGCTGAAAGGCTGGAGGGGTTGTGAGGGTGTAACCAGAACTCAGTTTCCCCACCTGCAAAATGGGCTTGGTGAGATGAGAAATCCCTGGGAATAAACGGGTTGAGGGGTGGCCCTCCTGGGTCTGCAGGCCTAGCAGGTTCTTTCTCCATGACCCCTGGCTGGGTCTGGGCTGGGGCCTGAGCCTTAGTGCTCAGAAGCAGTCACAAGACGCCCCCCCCCCATAGCAGACTCTGCTATCCCCAATTCCCCCAGTAGGTCCCAGTGACTGCCCCGAGATGCCTCTTCCTCTGATCCCAGGCGAGCGCCAGGCGGGCGATGGCACCTCCCTCCCTGAGACACCCAATCCCAAAATGGTGAGTGAGACCTGTCTGCCTTCCTGGTGGTATCAGTGGGGAACTGGGACAGACCTCTGCCTTCCAGACCACTCAGGCCTGGCCTCTGAGGCATGTCAGGGCCACACAGGGGCGGTGGGGGCGGCTGGACTTGCTGCCTCCTCTCCCGCAGATGTCGGCTGTCTATGCAGAGCTGGAGTCCCGGCTGAGCAGCAGCTTCAAAGGGAAGAGGGGGAGCACATCGAGATCCCGTGCCTCCCCACCAGTGCCCAGCCCGGCGGGCACAGCAGGTAGGCGCTCAGCCAGCCCAGCTCCTGAAGGCAGCACTGGCTGGCTGGGTGTTGCCCCACCTCCAGGCACACCGTGGAGTCCCCTCTTTGATCCATGACCATGGGACTGAATTGTGGGGAACCCCAGCAGCCTTCATGGTGAGGGGCCATCAAGGTCAGGGTTGTCCTCGTCCTTCTGTGTCCCCTCTGATCCTCACCCCCGCTATGGATCTAGAAAAGCAGAGGGCTGCCTGCAAGAGTCCCCAAGTTAGTATGTGGCTGTTGGATACACTGTTAAGTGCCTTGCTCTGTGAATGGCACAGGTTCGCCGTGTCCCTCACAGAAAGGTGGTTGCTCACAGGACACCCATGATGACTTCTCGGCAGTTTAGAAGGCAGGACCCCTGGTGATGCTCCTGTGAGCTCAGGGCCTGCTGGGTGTGGGCGCTGCCTCATGACTCTTGATCTGGGGCTTGGAGAAGGCCCCTTGGCCCTTTGAAGTGGGACCGCTGGTGTCCCTTTCAAGAGGAGCTGGAATCTGGCTTTTCCTAGGCCTAAGCAGTGCCCTCCCCCCGCCCCCACTGCCACCAGCCTTTGATCACCCCCAAGGAAGAACATGGAGGGACGGGGTCACCCAGGTCCTCCTGCTCTGTGTTGAGAGGGAAAGGAAGGTGCCCAGGGACACAGAGCCAACGTCCCCTGGGCCCCTGTCCTCCCGCCTGCGCCTGGAACCCGGGTACTGACTGAAGAGGGGTCCTCATGTGCCCTCCTCCACCCCAGGGCCCAGGACCCTGTCCAGTGTCTCGTGGCCCAGCGAGCGGCTCCTGCCCTCCCCCTGCTACTACCCGCTGTGCTCGGGAGAACCAGCCTCCCCCAGCAGCTCCGAGTCCCACCCCTACGCCAGCTTGGACAGCAGCAGGGCGCCCTCCCCACAGCCAAGCCCCGGGCCCATCCACTCCGACAGCCCCCCGAGCCCGGACCTTGCCCGCCAGCCCAGCCGCAGGAAGCTCTTCACCTTCTCCCGGCCTGTGCGAAGCCGGGATACCGACCGCTTCCTGGACGCCCTGAGTGAGCAGCTGGGCCCCCGGGTCACCATCGTGGATGATTTCCTGAGCCCCGAGAATGACTATGAGGAGGTGAGC